CAGCAGGGAGCTGGGGCTGGACTGGGATCCACACCAGGGAGCTGGGGCTGGACTGGGACCCACACCAGGGAGCTGGGGATGCCCTTGGGATGCTCCTCCTCCCTGCCCTGGCATTACCTGGCTCTCGGGTCCCGCCCGGGCAGCGTTGAGGGCCGACCCTCCTCCTCCTGCACCCAGCCACAGTTGGACATGGCATAGTGCAGGATGGCCTCTGTCACTGTCTGGGTGCCCTGGCCCTGCACGCAGGCCTCGATGGCGGGCACGGAGAGCTGGCTCTGCAGGAAGAGGTGCAGGCGGCTGTCCGAGAGCAGCACCACGTTCTGCACCACCCTGGGCACGGAGAGAGGAGGGGCAGTCACCCTTCACGGCACCCTCACAGCCCTGCAGCAGGATTGTCCCCTCCCTGCCATCCCCCCCCAGCCCTCAGGAATCCTTCACTCACTTCTCCAGGAACTGCTGCAGTCCCTGTCTCCGCTTCTCGATGAACTCGTCCGTGCTGCCCACGAAGAAGGTGGATTTTCCAGGCAGCTCTGGGACAGGCCTGGGGGGGAACCAGGGCTCAGGTCACCTCAGTGCCAGCACAGGGGACACTGTGGCAGCACCTGCCAGGCCCCTGGATCCAGGGGACACTGTGACAGCACCTGCCAGGTCCCTGGATCCAGGGGACACTGTGACAGCACCTGCCAAGCCCTTGGATGCCAGGAGCTCGGGTATCCCCTGCTCCTGCCCGAGGTTTCTCTCCACGTCTGCTCTGAGCTCGCAGGGGTCACCCAGGGCAGGGAGAAAGGCTCTCCCAGGTCTCCCTGAGCAGCAGGAGGAGGGAAAGGAAGGCCAAGGAATGCTTACACCAGGCCAGCATTCTTCTGGAGCTGCCTCCTCAGCCACACGAACTCACGGTACCGGCGCCGCACACATGAGGTCTTGGCAGTGAAGGCCTTGCTGTTGGTCTGGGAAAAAAAAAAAAAACAACAGTTCCATGGGAATTGTCCGTGGGATTGAGGGGCAGGGAGGATGAGGAGGGACTCAGGGATCCATCCTCTCCATGCTGGGCCTCAGACCCACAGAAGGCAGAGGGTTCTCCCGTGGGGGATGATCCCACTCATGCTGGATGATCCCACTCTGGATGATCCCACTCTGGATGATCCCACTGGTGAGTCCTGGGCTCTGCAGCTCCACCCCCTGTCCCTCAGCCCCGACTCACGTGGAGGAAGATCTTGTAATCCACATAGGAATTCCAGGAGCCTTCGTTCTGCACTCGGGGGTCCTGCACTCGCACCGTGGTCAGTTCCTGGGGGGCAGGAGGGGTGTCCCTGCTCAGCCCCCCGGCATTCCAGGGACAGGGATCCCCCCCCACCACCTCCTCCAGCTTCCCTGTCCCAGGGAGAGCACAGACAGCTCCCACAGGCAGCTCCAGACATTCCCAGCCCTGTCCCCAGCCGCCCCTCAGCTCTGCCCCACGGACCCTTCGCCTTGCCCAGACCGCCCTGTGCTGCCAAATTCCAGCCAGGAATTATCATATCAGGAAGGGTCTTACTTCCTCTCGGTTCTCCAACATCCTAGAGGAGCCAGAGCCCAGCGGGAAACATCTGGGGAAAAAAAAAAAGGGATTTAGGAGGATCAGCACATTGGGGTCTTCTGCATCCCCCCAGCACCAGCCACACTCAGCTGCCCTCCCTGATCCCTGGAATAACGAGGATGCTTCCAAATCCTCCTTAGGGAAGAGGAAAGAGGAGGGAAGGAGCCAAATGTGCCAGGAGTCAGTTCTGGGGGAGCTCCGAGACTTCCCAGGGCTCCCAGTCAGAACCAGTCCAGCAGCACAGCTGGGACCATCACATTCCCAAATCCCGCGGGATCACAGGCCCCACAAACGGTGGGATGACCCCTGTGGAATCATCCCGAGGTTTTAGAGCTCCTGCTCTGCCCCAGCAGCTTCAAAAGGCAGGAGGAGGGATCGGGAATTGCCCAGTGGAACAGCAGAGGGTTGCCAGGAACAGGAATTTCGTTTCCCGAGGTGCTCCCAAGAGCAGAGAGCCCTGAGGGAGGTGGCTCCATGCAGGAAAACCGGGAGCAGGGAGCCCAGGAAGCTCAGGTCCCTTCATCCCCAGGAACACATAATCTCATTGAGGCTTTATTGGGAGTTAATTGATCCTAATGATCAACTTCCAGCCCCTGGAGGAGCAGCTCGGGATCAGCCCTAAGCACTTCCAGCAAATCCTCTTCCAGGGATTTTGGGGGAAGCCTCGGTTTAAGGGGCTCTGGGATTACCCTGGGTTGGGTTTATGTCCCTGCAATTCCAAGTTTTCCCTGCTGCCTCTCACCTGCCCGGGATTTGGGCTGGAGGAGCCGCAAATCCCAGGTGGAATTTGCCCCCGCGCCGGCTCTCGTTCCCACAGGGCTGACAAGGGAAAGTGCTCCTTGTTATCTCTTATCCACCCGGCTGACACATCCCTAACTGCCCTTCCCGCCCTCTGGAACAGCGGGAATGCTCTTTCCCAACCGGCACAGAGCAGAGTTCAGCTCCCAGCTCCCGCCCCCAGCTCCATTCCCTTCCCAGATCCAGCCTGGCCGAGGCTCCAACTCGGGGAAAACCCTCCCAAGGGAGGCTCCACGGCAGCAAAACCTGGAATTAATCCCGTTTATTCCCGCTTTTCTTTGTCCCGTTTGGACACAGCCACCTATAAAAGACTGGGAGCGATTTTTTTTGGAAGAAGGAAAGGGCTCCCTTCACAACCCGGTGTCCCAAAATTTGGACCCTCCTGGCCCTGGCAGGGGTGTCCCAGCCATTCCAGCATCTCAGAATCCGGGGAAAGGCATCATACAGGAGGAAAAACGGGGATTAATCCCACTTATCCCTGCTTTTCCTTGTCCCGTTTGGACACAGCCACCT